TGAGTCTTTGTTCAAGTTGGGAATGTGTGATATCACCAACTTGAGTGAGGTGTTAAGATATTTAAATATTCTACTAGCAAATATTTAGACAATCAAATATTATGTTAGCTATAATTTAGGCATTATTATAACTTATGCATCTTTTAATAGATGAAGAATTATAGAACTCTTATTTCTACATAGTTTAAAAAAATCTCGTTTCTCATGAAATAATCTTTCTCACTTAGATGATATTATACTATGCTTGTTAACAACAAAATAAATGGTGTCTAATTCATAAAAAGTATATTATGAGAATTATTTTTATCAATACGAAAAATAAGTTAATTTACACTTTATTCCATTAATTTCTATATTTTGGACTTTTCCGTTTCAAATCAAATTAATTTTATAAATTTGTTAGAATAACCTTACTATGAAATCAAATTGACTTGTAAAAATATAATAATCAATATGAATACAACAAGACAAAAACAATTACAGAAGAATTTAAATTACAACAACAAAAGAAAGAAGTATCCTACTTATAGATTTTCAAATGTCCTCCACAAACTCTTCAATATCTCTTGACAATGAATGAAAGGATGTACAAATTAAAGTCTTTAATCGTCTTTAATTCAAGAAAGTCACCATATCTCATGCTATAAGCAATCTTTGAAATTGTACAACCTATTTAAAATGCCAATATAAAATCTACTTTTTATTAAAAAAAATATTTTAATTATTTGTTTGTCTTCCAATCCTATTGGAACCACCATTCTTATATCCAACTTCCGCGTGACCCATTTTCTCTTCATCTACCATTTTCACTCTTCAAAATCCCATTTTTTCTTCATCTACCATTTTCACTCTGAAAAGCTTCAAACTTCTCCACCATAGCTGAAACATGGAGGCCAATCTTGATCATGCTCCACCACACACCCCTTTGCTTAATCACCCACCAAGACTGAACGAAAATGGCCATAAACCATCAAAGGGTATCTTTGTGATCCTTATTCCATTGTTTTTCTTCTGTCCATTGCTTGCGTTGACCATGATCAAGAGCCAAAACACTTTGAAAGCAGCCCTTTGATTCTAACATCTCCCCCAGAGGGTTGGCTCAAGGTGTTTCTCCCAAATCCAATCCATCCCTTTTCCAGAAAGTTTCATACAATTGGACCAACGCCATGTTTTCTTGGCAAAGAACAGCTTTTCATTTTCAGCCACAAAAAAATTGGATGAATGGTAGGTCTGTATATTTTCATTCCAATTCTGTTATTGTTTTTTCTTTGCTTCTTTTAATGTTACTGTTACATAACACTGCTGTTCATGTTTCCTGCTTCATTGATGTTTGCTTCGATGGGCTGCTCAGATCTGACGGTATGATTTTATTTCTCAATTTTATGTTTCTGTTCCTTTTTCTTTTATAATATATATCCTATCACATTTGTTTTTTATAATTATAGTGTAGCTAAAATAAATAGCATTATTAAGTAAACACTTTAACATATGTGTGAGGTTATTCAAAAAAAAGTTCGCGAAAATATTAGCATGGGGTAAATGATAAGAGATGAAGATACTAACTTTGAAAAGAAAATTTATAACAATAAGTTTGTGAAAAAAAATTAACTATATATTTTGTTAATCTTATTTATTTTTGACCGGAAATGAATGTTTTAATTCACTTCGTTTTAAATTCTTGACATATGCTTGTGATATTTTCTATATGTAAAATTTAGGGATTTACAACAAATAAAATTTAAATTATATTAGGAATAAGTTGATTTGGTTTGAATCATCTAGTTTAATTAAGTAGATATATAAAGTTTTGTTTTGAGAAAAACAAACATATTTTTATCTAAAATTTGCACCTAGTTCTATAGTTAGAAAAAAAAAGGTTTTGTATTGCACTTTACTTACATATAAACTAAATAATTAGAAAATTAATACAATTATAATATAAAACTTCATATATAATGAAAAAAATATTATTGATTTGGTTGATGTTGGTTGAATTGGTAAATTAAAAATCTAACACTTAAAATAATTTTCACTGAATTAGATTGCTGTGATTTTGAGTTGATTAAAGTAAACTGAATTTTACATAATTTAATTGATTTAACTTGAATTCTTAAGTGGACTGCATTGATTCAAGTTAATGAACATGTCTAGTGAAAATGGTCACTTTTTTTATTTATAATAAGATTTTCTTTTCTTTTTTACTTTATTTTCTATAATGAGTTACCTACTTTAGATAAGTTGAATCTTAGTATACAATTTTAAAAATATTATAAATAAATGATAATCTGAAACTTTTAATGTAAAATAGATAATCCATTATTCTTTTTAATGTGGAAATGGTGTATATCTACTTTCTCAGATACTGAAAGTTACTAGATAACCCAATTAAGTTAAAAATATATATATATATTATATATATATATATATATATATAATTATATATATATTATATATATATATATATATATATATACACACACACACACACGATTATTGTCGTATTAATAGTGACATTTTCTTAAAAGATATAAAAATAAATAAAACTATATAAATTGATAGATAACTGTCCCCATTGGTCCATAATTATAAACTCCACATTTATTCTTATCCATATTCTGACCTCAAAATTTTCTTCATTTAATGCTTCTTTTTTAATTCATTGTTCTTATTATTCCTATTTATAAACAAATAAAACCTAGAAAATATAACAAATTGTAAGCTATTAAGAATGTAAATTAGAACTTTATCAGTTTTTAGAGTATAAAAGGAAAAAGGAAATGATTTTGTGGAGAAATAAAATTTGTTTGCATGATATTTCTACGTTAAAATAATTTCTTTAAGAAAGAGATACGTGAAATTTAGATAAACTTTGTCATCAATGCTTATAGAAAGGTTAAGTGGGGTAAAATTAACATATGTATAAACTAAAAACAATATTTTAAAACTAATATAATTTTTTAATAAATTAACTTGTGTTTAAACTAATTTTGATTTCTTAGAGAATTTTTTTTCTTAAAATATTTATGAGAATTTTATCTAAGCTATTCTTATTCTGTAGACATCTTATAGTAAGAAATATAAATTAAAGAAATATTTATTAAATAATGGGAAATGATAAATTTATCCACAGCTATATATATCATAAATTAAGTGATAATATGAGGATTGGATCTCTTTATATATTATAAAAATTTTATTTATATATCTATAATATATTAAAAATTATTAGTATTTACTAAATCACATCTATTAAAATTGATATCAAGTACAACATCATCTTTTTCTTATTAGAATTTTTAGTTTATCCGAAGTATAAAATTAAAAGTGTCATTTTTATATAAAAAAAATATGTTACAAGAAAATATAACATAATTAAGTTTGTGCTCAACACAATATTAGATTTTAGCTAATTAATTATGTGATTTGCAAAACTAGAGGTCTACTCAGATGATCAAGTTAGTATTTCTGACTTAGTGTTGATTCAAAATCAATTTTCAATGTTATAATACATACCAACTTAAGCAAATATTCAAATCCTCATTTCCTCGACTTAACACCAATTTAGGCAAATACAAGCAGCAGACAACCATATGACATACAAATTATTTAACAACTCAACCAACAATATTAGTAGTTCCAGTATTTAGAGTATTGTCAAATAACTCTAGAAATCCTACAACAATTCCAAAAGTACAAGAAACTCAATTTGTTCTTACGAACAATAGAAACACAATACACCATTAGAATTAGTAATCAACATAGAATTTTATAGAAGACTCAAACCCTACATGCGATCCAGATAGTTCGCATGTAAAGAAAGACAAAATAAACCAAAGGAAGAAATAGAAAATTAAATTACTCTACTCGAAAAACTAATTTGATGGAAATAGAGAACTCAACTCAAGAAAAATTTTGACGATCTCTGATCTTTAAATAGATGATTAGAAAGCTAAGAGAGAATAAAGTTCTAGAATTAAAAAATTTAGATAAATGATGTGATTCAAGATAATAAAACTTATTTATATTAAAAAAATTTAATATTAAAATAATCAAGTATCATTGTTTCTAAACCACTCTAATTTCTAAAATACAAATTTATGAATCATTACATTAAATAATTAATATTTATGAAAAAATATTATGTTTTTTTTTTATTTTTATATAAAAGTTATTCTCTTTTAAATATGACAATAAAATTTAACATGGACCATATTAACACCCAAAATTATAAAAATTGAATATTTCCTTAGATTCGTACATCCTTCAAATATTTATTTTCTAAACTATTTATATAAATCTTCTTGGGAATTTTTTTACCAACCAAACCCATTCTTGTCATTTATGAAAATCATAAATCTTAATCTTCGTAATTTTTATAATCATTAAGAATCACGATTTTCAGATATGAAAAAGGCTATCTTGAATGAAATATCTTTAAGTGATCATTGATTGAAAATTATATACCATAACTTAATTAATAAAATAAACTTAAATAGTTTAGGATAATTGGTTTATATTTATAGCACAATAGTATGTATGTTTTATTGAAATAGTAGCCAATTTCTTAGTGGTAAAAAAAAGTAGTTTCTAAGTTCATGTTCAACAACTAAAGTAACATTGTAAGTAATTAGTTAAAATGTAAAGAACAATATTATGAAAAACATATCTTAAATATTTCAATTACATTAAATAAATAAAATTTCTATAATTAATTAAAAGTAATGATTAGGATTTTATTACTTATATTTATTTATTTTAGCATGGTTATTAGCTTTTAATATAATTTTTTTATCTGTTGAAGTAATAAAAAATGTAAGAAATGTGTTCATAATCAAAATGATGTAATTTTAAATTTCATATTTTTATCTATAATTTTAAATAGTAATTATAATGAAAATGTTAAAAAAAGTTATGCCATATAAGATAAAGTAAATATCTTAAATTGATAGCATGGGAGATGTTTCCAATGAGCAATATATGTTTCCAATTATTAGGGTTTGAAATTTTGAGATTTTATCCTACGATTGCAGGTCCATTGTTTCACATGGGATGGTATCATCTGTTTTACCAATATAATCCTGATTCAGCTGTGTGGGGGAACATCACATGGGGCCATGCAGTATCAAGGGACATGATTCATTGGCTCTATCTACCCATTGCCATGCTTCCTAACAAGTGGTACGATATCAACGGTGTATGGACTGGATCTGCCACGATTCTGCCAGATGGCAAAATCATAATGCTTTACACGGGTGACACCAATCAGTATGTGCAAGTGCAAAACCTTGCATACCCTGCCAATCTATCTGATCCACTTCTTCTCGATTGGGTCAAGTATGCGGGTAACCCGATCTTAGTGCCCCCGCCCGGGATCGGATCCAAGGACTTCCGAGACCCGACCACGGGTTGGATCGGGCCGGATGAAAAATGGAGGGTCGCAATTGGGTCAAAGAAAGGAAAAACGGGCCTTTCGTTAGTTTACACAACCATCGATTTCATCAACTTTGAGCAAAATGATCACTACTTGCATGCAGTTCCGGGTACGGGTATGTGGGAATGTTTAGACTTTTACCCGGTTTCGATAAATGGGTCTAAGGGTTTGGATACTTCAGTTAATGGGCCATATGTTAAGCACGTCTTAAAAGCTAGTTTGGATAACGCAAGGGTAGATAGTTATGCAATTGGGACCTATTTTGTTGAAAACGATACATGGGTACCCGATAACCCGCTTAAGGATGTGGGTATCGGGTTGCTTTTGGACTATGGAAGATACTATGCTTCTAAGACTTTCTATGACAAAGAAAAAGAGAGGAGAATTCTATGGGGTTGGGTCAATGAAACTGATATAGAAAGTGATGACTTAAGAAAGGGTTGGGCTTCTCTTCAGGTATCAATTTTGCTTTTTTAACTTTAATTCTATCTTTTGCTTCTTCAACTTTAATTGTGATTTTAGTTTAGCGACATTTGTGTTAAATTTTCCAGTTTGAAATTGAATAATAGGATGTAATGTAACTAGTTTGATGGTGAAGTTAGAAATGCGCATGAAAAGTGTTTGATGAAATGCTGTTATTTTTCATGGTTGAGTTTATAACTTTGTGAATATAAAGCTTAAGTACATCTTTTCTGTTTTATTAGACAATTCCAAGAACAGTGTCGTTTGATAACAAGACTGGGACTAATTTGCTTCTGTGGCCAGTGGAGGAAGTAGAAAGCTTGAGACTAAGTAGTGATGAATTTGAAGGAGTGGTGGTTAAGCCTGGCTCTGTTGTGCCACTAAACATAAGCCTAGCGACACAGGTTTGTGTGTAGAATTACGTATGTTCACTCAAATGTTTTTGTTGCACTGTCACTCACAGTAATTGTACTGATCAACAACTATTTTCATTTCCCAAAAATATCCCAGTTGGACATATTTGCTGAATTTGAGATTGAATGGTTGAACTCCGAAAGTATTGGTGAGAGCAACATAGGTTGTGGAAGGGGTGGTGTAGAAGACAGAAGTGCTTTTGGACCATTTGGTCTTCTGGCAATAGCAGATGACTCACTTTCTGAACAAACCCCAATTTATTTTCGCCTTTCTAATACTACCACTTTCTTCTGTGTTGATGAAACAAGGTAGGAATTTGCACTTGGTAATACAGATTTTCTCTTTTTAAAGAAGAAACATGGTAATGAGTTATTGGGTGTGATGTAGATCATCAAAGGCTTCTGATGTTGCAAAGCCAATTTATGGCAGCAAAGTTCCAATCCTTAGTGATGAAAAATTATCAATGAGGGTATTGGTAAGTGTGAATTGCACTTCTTGTTCACTTGGTGTGTGGTTGTACATTACCTATTTTAGTTTTTATCATTGGTTTTCTCTCTAGATTTTATTTCCATATAGGGAATGCATGTTCATATGTAGTTTAATAAAACTTATGTTTATTTTGTTTTAGTTAAATACAGAGTTAACTTTCCAATTTGATCAGGTTGACCATTCAATTATTGAGAGCTTTGCTCAAGGAGGAAGAATTGTGATCACAAGTAGAATTTACCCAACTGAAGCAATATATGGAGCTGCAAGATTATTTGTATTCAACAATGCAACTGACATAAACATTAAGATCTCCTTAAAGATTTGGCAATTGAACTCTGCTTTCATACGTCCCTTTCCCTTTGATCAAAATCAATGAAGAGTGTTTATTTATATTATTCTCATTATGATTATGATGATGATGATTTATGTATTGTTATTGACACATGTAGATCAACAATCATTCATCAAGTTAATGAATTTTGATTGAACTATCAATCACTTTGTTCACAACCTATGAAGGCTCAGAATCTGAATCAAATAGCAATTCGCGCTCAACAACAACTCCTCACAAACCCTAATCCCCAATTGTTGAACCCTTTACTATCACTTCTCACAAATTCTAAAAATGCATTCTTTCATCTCTACAACCAAATGCTCTCACACCCTTTCTCGCACAATCACTACACCTTCACCCACGCCCTCAAGGCCTGCTCCTCCAACCACGCTCACTCCAAGGCTCTCGAAATCCACGCGCGGCTCATCAAATCCGGTCACTACGTCGACATCTTCATCCAGAACTCGCTCCTCTACTCCTACCTCGCCCGCAACGACGTCGTCGCCGCCTCAAACCTTTTCCAGTCGATTCCCTCCCCCGACGTCGTTTCATGGACCTCACTGATATCGGGCCTCGCCAAATCGGGCTTCGAGGCCCAAGCCCTTCAACATTTTTCCGAAATGAACTCGGAGCCCAGAAGTGTCGAACCCAATGCAGCCACCCTCGTCGGCGCGTTGTGCGCGTGTTCGTCTCTTAAGGCTCTGAGGCTCGGCAAGTCCGTTCACGCTTACGGCGTGAGGATGATTGCCAACGTGAATGTTGTTTTTTACAACGCGGTGTTGGACTTGTACGCAAAGAGTGGGTCGTTGAAATATGCCAAGAACCTGTTTGATAAAATGTCTGTGAGGGACGTGATTACTTGGACCACTTTATTGATGGGTTACGCGCGTGGTGGTTACTGCGAGGAGGCTTTTGGTGTGTTTAAACGAATGGTGCATAGTGCAGAAGCTGAACCAAACGAGGCAACTGTAGTAACTGTTTTATCAGCGTGTGCCTCTATTGGAGCATTGATTTTGGGGCAGTGGGTGCATTCGTATATTGACTCACGACAAGACCTTGTGGTTGATGGAAATATTGGGAATGCTTTGCTAAACATGTATGTGAAGTGTGGAGACATGCAAGTGGGGTTTAGGGTTTTTGACATGATTGAGCACAAGGATGTTATCTCGTGGGGCACTGTTATCTCTGGGCTTGCCATGAACGGTTATGGGAAAAGAACGTTGGAGCTATTTTCCCGCATGTTGGTTGAAGGGGTTGAGCCTGATGATGTTACTTTTATTGGGGTGTTATCTGCATGTAGCCATGCGGGGTTGGTGAATGAAGGGGTTATGTTTTTCAAAGCAATGAAAGATTTTTATGGAATTGTGCCACAGATGAGGCATTATGGTTGTGTTGTGGATATGTATGGACGTGCTGGTTTGTTTGATGAAGCTGAGGCTTTCCTTAGAAGCATGCCTGTTGAAGCTGAATGGCCTATTTGGGGAGCTCTTCTACGAGCTTGCAAAATCCATGGTAATGAAAAGATGTCTGAATGGATAAAAGGACACCTAAGGGGGAAAAGGGTTGGTGTTGGTACTCTTGCTTTGCTGTCTAACATGTATGCCAGTTCTGAACGATGGGATGATGCTAATAAGATTCGGAAGAGTATAAGAGGCACTGGAGTAAAGAAAGTTGCGGGATGTAGCTGGGTAGAGCTTGAGGTGTACAATAACAGATCGGATTCAAATGTGTGTGCTGCCTAGTTAGATGGATAAGGGAAGATCAATGAAGTTTTGACAAGGAGAATGGTACCAACAATGATATAACCTCATGAGGTTGAAATCGAGCATCTTACCATTTATTAAAACATATACTTGTACGGGAAAATACTAAGTTATTCTCTTAGATATGCTTAAATCATACTCTTCATCCTTTTAATTTAAAATACGCATTTCCTTTTCCACAAAGATGAATGTGTGTATATTACAGTCTTTGTGAATACATATAAACAAGTTTCTTAACCGTAGTATTTTTCTTTGGAACGTGTATCCAATTCCTATAAAGAAAATGAGTCCGGCTGATATTTCATCCTTTTTTTACAACTATTACTGTCAGAATAATTAATTTTGAATTCTCAATTCTCGAGTGCAATAGAAAATGGAGCATATAATAGCAATCAGAAAAATACAAAAACGAAGCTGGCTTAATGGCAGTCATAGTAAAAGGAAATTTTCGTTATCAAAAAGAGATATGCCATTACTTTTTAGATGCATTATAAAAAAAAATTGTATTCCTTCTAAAAGCAACAGCCATATATACCATTAGACTAAAGCGAGAGAAAAGTTGCGACGTATTGGCGAGAAGAACCCAAGATTTTATCACCAATGATAGTGCTAGAGATTTTAAACTATAGCTCTAAAATTTAACATACTACCATGGTAAAGATTCTTTTAGTTTTAGTTCAATCTCACCTTAACCATTCATTTTAACTAAGCTCAAGATTTCCTTCTTTCACACTCTCTTTCTATTCCAAATCATTCTTTAGACATGAGACCAAATTTGTCTCTTTATGTATTGAAACAATACAAAATCCAGTCATTGTCTCTGCAGCCGCTGGCCAAGAACCAAGGGGATCATTGCTTCCTGCACCCCATGTTTTCTTTCATTTGGATGCCCTTTTGGTCTCTGATTTTTAGTGCTCATCACTTTTGCTCTCTCCTCAGGTTCTCAATTTCTGTTCTTTGTAGAAAAGTGGCTCATGTAAACCAATCCTCTTTTCTTCTTTTTTTTTTTTCTTTTTTTTCTCTTTTTCTGATTTTTGCTTCTCTCTATTGGTATTTGTTGTATGTTAGGAATGTGGGTGTTAAGGAGATGGAAAGGGTGAAGAAACAAAACATGGGGTGCAGGAAGCAATTTCCAACCAAAGGTTTATTAACGGGCTTCTACTTTGGGCCAGCCATATTTTAACTTACATACCACTCTCATACCTTACTTTTGCACCCGTATATTTAGAAGAATTATTAAAACATCATTTGTCCATTTTTTAAATAAAAAAAAAATCTCATTCTTCTTGAATACATTCAAGATATTTTAGAAAATTTAGAATAGTGTATCTAAAAGTATATTATTAGTAGTAATTTACGAATTGGGTAGTTAAGAAAGTTTTTTCTAGAATTATAGTCTGAATTAGGTAATCCATAATATTTTGAGATTATGCAATAAGAACCTATATTTATTATCACGAAATACGAAAAACATTTAACGTTACACAGTGGAATGATTATGATGGCATTATGACAAGGATATTTTATATATGGAGATGTAGAAAGAAAAAAAAAATGGGAGAGAAAGTTATATGAAAAAATAAATTTATAAAATAGTTAAAATCCCTATATTATTTATCATATAGTTGTATTCATTTATTCGTCTTTGTTTACCTAACATTAAATCAATTAAATTTCATTTGATTTACCTTTATTGAAACATAGTTTTTAAGAAGTAAGATTGGTGTATTTTTTTATTTTTTTAATGGATAAAATCCATTATTGGAGAGGAACTTTTTAGTAGAAAGAATTTCAAGAAACCAAGATTTATCATGATAACATGGTGGCCTATTAACACCATTCTTTGTTTTCATTGATTAATGATTTTGATTGAGATGTTATTGCTCCATGCACACTCACCATGATAGTGAAACCCATTTCCTTAATGCCTAACATTCCCCCAAAACCACCACGCCACAAACATCCATGCCTATTCAAATGCATAATTAATAATACCACATAATTTAAACAAATTCAAATATTATCCATTTTAGTATTAAATTTACAATAACATCTGTTATACTTTTGGATTTGAAACTTTTCCCTTAAAACTCGTTTCTTAAAATGAAAAAATAATAATAATGACTGTAAGTAATGGAAAATTATGAAATATACCAAAATAAAATAATAATAATAATAATAATAATAATAACTGTAATAAGATTTAATGAATGGTGTAAAAAGAAGTGCCACAATCTGACACATATGTTAATGTAACTAAAAGGAAGTGGCTTATATAAAGGTCAATTTATTGAAACAAGAAAAAAAGCTGTGGAATATTATAATATGGCAAATTGTGTCTTTCTAGAAACAACTAAATTCTTCAAATGAAAAAAATATGAAATTCAAATTGGATTAAATTTTAATTTTTTTCATTAAGGCCGAGACATAAACACCCTTTGAGTTTTTCGAGACAAAAGAACACGTTTATTCATGTACGAGACTGTAAAAACATTGTCTGAATCCATTGTTAATTCAGCTTTATTCCATGGGAATACCAAGGAAGAGATTTTTGTACCAATCAAGTGGTATTGCTCTCACAAGTTTTTCTATTTTTATATATTTTTTCTAAATAAAACTTTTATCTAAACAAAATTTCTATAATTTTAAATATTTTTTATATTTTTCAAATAAAAATTTATAATTTTTCAAAAATAATAACTAAACTGCATTATATTAAAAAGGTCCAGTAAAGGAAATAAAGGAAATTGCATCTAACGCATGCTTTTACCCGTATTGATCCAAAATGCACAATCATATGTTTAATTTTTAATGAATCTATAACCTAATTCATTATAAAAACGTGAGTGTAGATGAGTTTGCTATGGGAAATTATGTGATGATGGAATTAACAACGACTACATTATCTTCCAAATATAAAAAGGTCTTAAGCATCGATCTTATTATATTTCTTAGTGAAACAGAGAGAAAACAAAACCTTAATATGGTGTGTTTACCTTTTTTACAATTAGAATCATAATCCTCACATTCATACTTAAATAATTCTAATTTGATCCTCGTAAAATCAAATATTACTTCAGGATATCTATATAATTTTATGTAACAATTATGTTCTTAGTTATTCTAACATCCTAAAATATAGTCATAAACTATATTATAGTCACAAAATAATATGATAGAACAGACTAGCAAATAAAGTATTAACTTTACGGTCATCCAAAATAATCATAAAATTTAAAACTTTAGATACAAGGAGTTATCAAAACTATACAATAAGTTACTCTAAAGTCCAATTATGTGGTAGCATCCTCGCCATCTAGAGNCGCTCAACAACAACTCCTCACAAACCCTAATCCCCAATTGTTGAACCCTTTACTATCACTTCTCACAAATTCTAAAAATGCATTCTTTCATCTCTACAACCAAATGCTCTCACACCCTTTCTCGCACAATCACTACACCTTCACCCACGCCCTCAAGGCCTGCTCCTCCAACCACGCTCACTCCAAGGCTCTCGAAATCCACGCGCGGCTCATCAAATCCGGTCACTACGTCGACATCTTCATCCAGAACTCGCTCCTCTACTCCTACCTCGCCCGCAACGACGTCGTCGCCGCCTCAAACCTTTTCCAGTCGATTCCCTCCCCCGACGTCGTTTCATGGACCTCACTGATATCGGGCCTCGCCAAATCGGGCTTCGAGGCCCAAGCCCTTCAACATTTTTCCGAAATGAACTCGGAGCCCAGAAGTGTCGAACCCAATGCAGCCACCCTCGTCGGCGCGTTGTGCGCGTGTTCGTCTCTTAAGGCTCTGAGGCTCGGCAAGTCCGTTCACGCTTACGGCGTGAGGATGATTGCCAACGTGAATGTTGTTTTTTACAACGCGGTGTTGGACTTGTACGCAAAGAGTGGGTCGTTGAAATATGCCAAGAACCTGTTTGATAAAATGTCTGTGAGGGACGTGATTACTTGGACCACTTTTTTGATGGGTTACGCGCGTGGTGGTTACTGCGAGGAGGCTTTTGGTGTGTTTAAACGAATGGTGCATAGTGCAGAAGCTGAACCAAACGAGGCAACTGTAGTAACTGTTTTATCAGCGTGTGCCTCTATTGGAGCATTGATTTTGGGGCAGTGGGTGCATTCGTATATTGACTCACGACAAGACCTTGTGGTTGATGGAAATATTGGGAATGCTTTGCTTAACATGTATGTGAAGTGTGGAGACATGCAAGTGGGGTTTAGGGTTTTTGACATGATTGAGCACAAGGATGTTATCTCGTGGGGCACTGTTATCTCTGGGCTTGCCATGAACGGTTATGGGAAAAGAACGTTGGAGCTATTTTCCCGCATGTTGGTTGAAGGGGTTGAGCCTGATGATGTTACTTTTATTGGGGTGTTATCTGCATGTAGCCATGCGGGGTTGGTGAATGAAGGGGTTATGTTTTTCAAAGCAATGAAAGATTTTTATGGAATTGTGCCACAGATGAGGCATTATGGTTGTGTTGTGGATATGTATGGACGTGCTGGTTTGTTTGATGAAGCTGAGGCTTTCCTTAGAAGCATGCCTGTTGAAGCTGAATGGCCTATTTGGGGAGCTCTTCTACGAGCTTGCAAAATCCATGGTAATGAAAAGATGTCTGAATGGATAAATGGACACCTAAGGGGGAAAAGGGTTGGTGTTGGTACTCTTGCTTTGCTGTCTAACATGTATGCCAGTTCTGAACGATGGGATGATGCTAATAAGATTCGGAAGAGTATAAGAGGCACTGGAGTAAAGAAAGTTGCGGGATGTAGCTGGGTAGAGCTTGAGGTGTACAATAACAGATCGGATTCAAATGTGTGTGCTGCCTAGTTAGATGGATAAGGGAAGATCAATGAAGTTTTGACAAGGAGAATGGTACCAACAATGATATAACCTCATGAGGTTGAAATCGAGCATCTTACCATTTATTAAAACATATACTTGTACGGGAAAATACTAAGTTATTCTCTTAGATATGCTTAAATCATACTCTTCATCCTTTTAATTTAAAATACGCATTTCCTTTTCCACAAAGATGAATGTGTGTATATTACAGTCTTTGTGAATACATATAAACAAGTTTCTTAACCGTAGTATTTTTCTTTGGAACGTGTATCCAATTCCTATAAAGAAAATGAGTCCGGCTGATATTTCATCCTTTTTTTACAACTATTACTGTCAGAATAATTAATTTTGAATTCTCAATTCTCGAGTGCAATAGAAAATGGAGCATATAATAGCAATCAGAAAAATACAAAAACGAAGCTGGCTTAATGGCAGTCATAGTAAAAGGAAATTTTCGTTATCAAAAAGAGATATGCCATTACTTTTTAGATGCATTATAAAAAAAAATTGTATTCCTTCTAAAAGCAACAGCCATATATACCATTAGACTAAAGCGAGAGAAAAGTTGCGACGTATTGGCGAGAAGAACCCAAGATTTTATCACCAATGATAGTGCTAGAGATTTTAAACTATAGCTCTAAAATTTAACATACTACCATGGTAAAGATTCTTTTAGTTTTAGTTCAATCTCACCTTAACCATTCATTTTAACTAAGCTCAAGATTTCCTTCTTTCACACTCTCTTTCTATTCCAAATCATTCTTTAGACATGAGACCAAATTTGTCTCTTTATGTATTGAAACAATACAAAATCCAGTCATTGTCTCTGCAGCCGCTGGCCAAGAACCAAGGGGATCATTGCTTCCTGCACCCCATGTTTTCTTTCATTTGGATGCCCTTTTGGTCTCTGATTTTTAGTGCTCATCACTTTTGCTCTCTCCTCAGGTTCTCAATTTCTGTTCTTTGTAGAAAAGTGGCTCATGTAAACCAATCCTCTTTTCTTCTTTTTTTTTTTTCTTTTTTTTCTCTTTTTCTGATTTTTGCTTCTCTCTATTGGTATTTGTTGTATGTTAGGAATGTGGGTGTTAAGGAGATGGAAAGGGTGAAGAAACAAAACATGGGGTGCAGGAAGCAATTTCCAACCAAAGGTTTATTAACGGGCTTCTACTTTGGGCCAGCCATATTTTAACTTACATACCACTCTCATACCTTACTTTTGCACCCGTATATTTAGAAGAATTATTAAAACATCATTTGTCCATTTTTTAAATAAAAAAAAAATCTCATTCTTCTTGAATACATTCAAGATATTTTAGAAAATTTAGAATAGTGTATCTAAAAGTATATTATTAGTAGTAATTTACGAATTGGGTAGTTAAGAAAGTTTTTTCTAGAATTATAGTCTGAATTAGGTAATCCATAATATTTTGAGATTATGCAATAAGAACCTATATTTATTATCACGAAATACGAAAAACATTTAACGTTACACAGTGGAATGATTATGATGGCATTATGACAAGGATATTTTATATATGGAGATGTAGAAAGAAAAAAAAAATGGGAGAGAAAGTTATATGAAAAAATAAATTTATAAAATAGTTAAAATCCCTATATTATTTATCATATAGTTGTATTCATTTATTCGTCTTTGTTTACCTAACATTAAATCAATTAAATTTTATTTGATTTACCTTTATTGAAACATAGTTTTTAAGAAGTAAGATTGGTGTATTTTTTTATTTTTTTAATGGATAAAATCCATTATTGGAGAGGAACTTTTTAGTAGAAAGAATTTCAAGAAACCAAGATTTATCATGATAACATGGTGGCCTATTAACACCATTCTTTGTTTTCATTGATTAATGATTTTGATTGAGATGTTATTGCTCCATGCACACTCACCATGATAGTGAAACCCATTTCCTTAATGCCTAACATTCCCCCAAAACCACCACGCCACAAACATCCATGCCTATTCAAATGCATAATTAATAATACCACATAATTTAAACAAATTCAAATATTATCCATTTTAGTATTAAATTTACAATAACATCTGTTATACTTTTGGATTTGAAACTTTTCCCTTAAAACTCGTTTCTTAAAATGAAAAAATAATAATAATGACTGTAAGTAATGGAAAATTATGAAATATACCAAAATAAAATAATAATAATAATAATAATAATAATAACTGTAATAAGATTTAATGAATGGTGTAAAAAGAAGTGCCACAATCTGACACATATGTTAATGTAACTAAAAGGAAGTGGCTTATATAAAGGTCAATTTATTGAAACAAGAAAAAAAGCTGTGGAATATTATAATATGGCAAATTGTGTCTTTCTAGAAACAACTAAATTCTTCAAATGAAAAAAATATGAAATTCAAATTGGATTAAATTTTAATTTTTTTCATTAAGGCCGAGACATAAACACCCTTTGAGTTTTTCGAGACAAAAGAACACGTTTATTCATGTACGAGACTGTAAAAACATTGTCTGAATCCATTGTTAATTCAGCTTTATTCCATGGGAATACCAAGGAAGAGATTTTTGTACCAATCAAGTGGTATTGCTCTCACAAGTTTTTCTATTTTTATATATTTTTTCTAAATAAAACTTTTATCTAAACAAAATTTCTATAATTTTAAATATTTTTTATATTTTTCAAATAAAAATTTATAATTTTTCAAAAATAATAACTAAACTGCATTATATTAAAAAGGTCCAGTAAAGGAAATAAAGGAAATTGCATCTAACGCATGCTTTTACCCGTATTGATCCAAAATGCACAATCATATGTTTAATTTTTAATGAATCTATAACCTAATTCATTATAAAAACGTGAGTGTAGATGAGTTTGCTATGGGAAATTATTTGATGATGGAATTAACAACGACTACATTATCTTCCAAATATAAAAAGGTCTTAAGCATCGATCTTATTATATTTCTTAGTGAAACAGAGAGAAAACAAAACCTTAATATGGTGTGTTTACCTTTTTTACAATTAGAATCATAATCCTCACATTCATACTTAAATAATTCTAATTTGATCCTCGTAAAATCAAATATTACTTCAGGATATCTATATAATTTTATGTAACAATTATGTTCTTAGTTATTCTAACATCCTAAAATATAGTCATAAACTATATTATAGTCACAAAATAATATGATAGAACAGACTAGCAAATAAAGTATTAACTTTACGGTCATCCAAAATAATCATAAAATTTAAAACTTTAGATACAAGGAGTTATCAAAACTATACAATAAGTTACTCTAAAGTCCAATTATGTGGTAGCATCCTCGCCATCTAGAGTCTATTCTAGAGACACCTCATATCCCTTTGCTCACACCCATAAGGTGATAATTGCAAAGGAAGAATATCAAATATACAAAACACAATCACAAATAAAAGGGTAAGCTAGATATAAAAGAATTCATACAATTGCATATCATATAACATACTCAAGATTAATCAAGCAAGATAAACCAGTTCAAACATCCTAACATGTTATAACCTAGACTTGACCGTCCGAACTTAGAATGAT